GGCCTAAACTTGTGACGAATTGTGAGAATGGCCGGGGTTATGGTTTTCCTTAATTTTTAAAATTCAATTCCTTTCCTTTGCAAAATGTGAATTTTGGCCGTACCTTGATTAATATAAATAATTATGTGTCATCAAGTCAATTCTGACTTAACAGCAGCCCCTAAGAAGGAGCGATCACCAAATTGCCCTGCGCTCATCAGCTCTGCTCACAGATCTTGCAAACTCAAGGTTGTGGTTTCTTTAGGGAGTCAGTCCATCTTGTATTCATTCTTCCTCTTTTCCTGCTGCCTTCCACATTTTCCAATAGTTTTTTTTAATTGTTTGCTTCTAAGAAGGGTTCAGGCTTGATTTAATGTCGCAGGTCCTTATTTGTTTCCCTCATACCTTTCTTTTTAAAAAATCCAGAAAAACCACTGATCATTGCTTTGAGCTTAACTGATGGCAGATTGGGTTGCCCCGGGCGAAAATCCAAGGATTTCTTCACCTTAAGTGTGCTGTGGGTGGCCAGCTTTTCCTGTTTACACTCAGTGTGTCTCCAACTTAAGCTTCTCTCTCTCTCTCTCTCTCTCTCTGTATGTGTGTGTGTCTGTATGTGTGTGTGTAGAAGTGGGCTCTCTTTTTCCTTTTAAAAGATGCTTGTTTTAGCTCCCTTCCATGGCTAGAACACTGTATCCATTCTCCTTCCCTTGTAGCGCATCTGCCTCATTATGGTGTACATTATTGGCTGTTTAGTTTGCAGAATTTGTAAAAGGTGTGCCCGTTTGGATGGGAACTCCTCGAACACAGGATGTGCTGGCTGGGGTGGGGGGATATGGGGCGTTCCAGCAATTAAAAGGTTGGGTGGGGGCATCAGGCGGTTGTGACCCAAAAGAAGTCACTTCTGACTCTGATCATTTCTGGGATGGCCGCATGCTTGACCGTTGGTGTCCTCTTCTCCAGCTTTGTAAAGCATCTCTCTCTCTCTCTCTCTCTCCCCACCCTCCACCGGGCTGGGTGGCCCACTTGTGATTGCCTTACAGTGGCGGGTGGGGATGCTCTGCACATGCTCAGGAGCATGTGTCACATGCCACTAAAATCAAGGCCTGGAAGCCAAATAGCCAAACTTATCTTGAATGGGTGCCACTCACCCAACTTGGGGGGAAGAGATTATCTGGAAGTTGACCACCTCTGGATGAACGGGAATCTTCACAGACTCTCTTCAGATCTTCCTGGGTTGGTGTTTCTCTTTTTTTGCCCCAGGCAGGAGAGGTAACAAACCAAATTGGACCCCACCCCTACTGACCGTTTGAAGTGTCTTCACAAAAACAGAGGGCAAGGGAGGAGTGGGGGGGGCAAGAAACCAGAGGGCTGGTGCAATTGAAAAGAGTCCCAGGATTTACCTGGGGAAGGATAAGGCTGAAGCCTGCAGCACCTTTTATTTTTATTTTATTCATCTATTGCTTCTCTTCTTATTTTATTTAAACTCCACCCCCCCTTTTTCGGCTCTTGCCCCCAGGCTTCAAAGCTATTAACATTTGGGAGGAGAAAAAGTGATGTGGACAGCTCTTTAGCTTTGCTTCAAAGCGCGCCCCAGAGGCTTTGAAGATCATATCTGGCAATTAGGATGTCCCCAGGAAGAGGGGGGTGGGTGGGATTTCAAAAGCCTTGAGAGAGGATCTGGGGGGGGGAATAAAGGGCTATTTGGAGTTTAAATTTGCTGTCTTTAAAAATCACTTGTCCAGAAACAGGGGAGGGGATTGAGATAGAGAGAGAGGAGGGGAATAAAGTGAAAAGGATAGCAAGTGAGATTTCATACCTGGCTGAGCTCAGTGGGCTGTGCATGGAGGACATGTGCCCAAGCTGTGTTATTTTTCTCGCTCCTGTGCGCATGATCCGTGGAGACCTTTCTCACTGAATGCACCATCCTAATCAATTATTGCACGCCATCAAGGGGGATTATGTTAGTGACTATTCTCGGTGCTTTCTAGTTATAAAGTATAAGCGTAGAGTTACAGTGGTGCCTCGCTAGACAGTTACCCCGCATGACAGTTTTCTCGCTAGACATTGCCTTTTTGGGATCGCTGTAGCGATTCGCAAAACAGTGATTCCTAGGGGGGAATTTCGCTGGACAATGTTTGGTCCCTGCTTCGCAAACTGATTTTCGCTAGATGACGATTTTGACAGCTCCCTCCGCGCTCGCAAACAGGTGTTTTCGGGACCTAAGCTTCGCAAGACAACGATTTAAACAGCTGATTGGCGGTTTGCAAAGTGGCTTTCCTATGGTCGATCTTCGCTAGACAATGATGATTCTTCCCCATTGGAACGCATTAAACAGGTTTCAATGCATTCCAATGGGAAAATGCTTTTCGCTTGATGATTTTGCTAACCAGCGATTTCAGTGGAACGAATTATCATCTAGCGAGGCACCACTGTATAAAGTACTCTGAGGTGGTTTTTGCTCGCCCTTTCGTCTGCATCTGCGCAGCTCGCCAAAGGCGACCCTGGCTGGCTCTTCTCCCAGGAAGTACAGTGGAGAATCAACCATCGGTTCGGCCACCCTCCGTTCGATCTGCTCAGATTTGGGCTCCTGCCTTGAGCAGAGGGTTGGGACACAATAAACCTTAGGGGCCCCCTTCCGACTCCATCCTTCTAGGCTTCTATGATCGAACTCCTGACCCTGGAACAGCCAGGAGCTCCAAACCACTGAGCTATGCAGCGGGGGCCAGGGGGCCACGTGGTTGGGTTGCGCCTCCCTGCCTTCCTCACCGTTGGCTGGGGAAAAATGGGTTCTGTAGTCCGACGTCCCTTTGGAAAGCTGCCAGATAGAAATGACGCAGAGGGTTCCGGCCTAGAAAGTGCCCAGTCTTGGGAATATAAAGGGTGAGGCTCATCATCTCATGTTAGGAAGATAACGGGGACCGCCCATTGTTCTGCTTGATCCTGCTCTTGCTAAGCTGCTCATTTGAGACTCAGGGGCAGTGGAATCATTAATGCCCTTCAGAGATTGACTTGTTGAAGGTTCAAGAACCAGCTAGCTTGGGTGTCAATGGGTTCACCTTCCTCTGCTTATGTCCGTTCAGTGTCTGGGTCTGTGGCCAACCCTCATTCTCACCTCTCCTTAACTCTCGACACTGGCTTCCTCTCCACTTCTGGATCCTGTGCCAGCATCTTGTCCTCACCTTCAAAACGTTGGTGGCCTTTGCCCAATCGCTTTGTACAGTACTCTGGTTGTCGCAACCAACCCGTTGTGTCCCCCCCCCCCCGGTCCTCTTTGGTCTTCCACGGCCCTCTGCAGCCGCCTTGCTCTCAGTAATGAACGGCCTTTACCAACTTCATAGCGCCTTGAGTCATTTCCCAGAGTAACCTCATAGGAACCTAGTCCTGAATGATTGGTGGATTGAGACCTTGTAGCTTTCCAAAAGACCTGTCGCTGGTGGAAAATCAAAAACTGCCAGGTCTTGTGAGTGGATACAGGTCAGCATCGCTGGCTCCATTTCTGGATGTGTCTACGGAGATTGAGATAATGAGGGACTGTACTTCGACAAGAGTATGTTCTAGAAGTGAGATTTCCTACTTTCTTTCCTGTCACTGAAAGAGCACCTCCCTTGTTTTCTTGAATCTCAATCAGGATCTTTTGATTCCTGGGACATATCTTTGGGTTTCTTTTAATAGAATACACTCAAACCTAGGCCTGCAAGGTTGACGTTCCACAGAAAGTCTCGCCTGAAGAGTTGTAAAGGTTGTCTTCCCGTTTCAGCCGCATGCTGTGCACTTTTTTAAAAAAAGACTTTTTTAAATGGACAAGAAATGGCCAGGATACAAATCGGTTGCTTTTTGCTGTAAATGAATTTATTTGCCACAGCCAGTGAAACGTGTTGAGACATTTTAAAAGAGAGAGAAGAAGCTTTACGCTGTTTTTTGTGTGCATCAAAATACTCGGGGGGGGGGTCTGAGGATCTCTTGAGTTGCTCCTGTTTGGGGAGGGGGGGGAAATCACGACTTGTGGTCATATTGGAATTCTTG